TGTCAGCTAATAAACACCATCAGGGTAAAGTGAGAACATTCCTAGAGATTCCAGATATCAAAATATAAAAATGAACTAGGAAGCAAAAATTAAGATAAGTAGCAACGAATAATAAATGGAAATTTGACTGAAGCTTACAAAATGCCTCATATTTGTTATCTGCAATCTATTATTTTAAAATGTATGTTTTAATTTTTCCTATGTGTTTTTTTCTTGATTGGATCTAGATTTATTAATATAATGATGTATGGTTAAGAATTTTATTTTGTCTTTATATTCAAAATCAGATGCCTTGTGTAAATTTGTCAATGTTCTCTAAAAGTTTTAAGTGAGTTTTAGCTTCACGGTACCCTCATTTGAGAGCAGTTATGTGAAGTGCATACAAGAGTTGTAAGTAGGCCCTTAAATTTTGGAAACTGGGTTGGAGATGCCATTTGATCAAAATTTTAAACATATTTCAGTAGTAAATAGCTAATACTACACAATATTACCATAAGTCACAGACTCTGCTCAGTGCTCTATACTATTCCATTTAATACTCATAACAATTCTGGCACAATTAGTACCACCATGTTATATGTAAATTTTAAAGTAATTAACAGTTTTGTCAAAGATTTTACAGTGTATCAGATGAAGATCTGGGTTTCAAACTCAATTCTGATTGATATAATGTTCACGGTCTTAATCACAGTACTATACTAGCACCATCTGATGCCTAAGAAATTATAGATAGGAATCTTTATTATTATCATTCCCTTAGGAATTATATTAAATTACATCACCTTACCTTTAAATTATATTAAATTAAATCACCTTATATTACAAGTTTTGTGAAAACCTTGAAAATGTCTAAGTATATAAGAAGTTACTCATAGATTAGTTAAAGCGACAGTATCACATGTAAATAAAGATGCATGAATCAATCTAAATTTCTCATGATAGAACAATTAATTGCCTCCTTATGTTCTGCTTGATATAAATATTTTACAGTCATTAATTCTATAATCACCTTCTGTATGTACACTATGTTCTAGGCCCTGTCCCAGGATTGTTAGATAAAGTTAAACAAAATATGATTAATCTTTTGCATTAAAGTTACATGAGTTTTTTAGGTTAATAGAATATCATAGAAAGTATTCTAGATGTCTGAGTTTCTGATAACTTTAATATAAAATAGAATAACAGGGTTATATATTTTAAACCAATGTATAATTATTATAACCCCAAGTATACAGTATCTAATCATTTGAAGTAATGTAAAATGGCTGATTTCAGAGATAGGGCAGTTAAAATACAAAGATGAACCTGGCATATTTTGCTATGCCAGAAAGTACGAAAGTATTGAAAAAAAATGATGGTATCACATCACAAGGACATGAGAATCAGAATGAAGTGACTTTCACTCACCAAATAAGGGACCATTTGAGAATCAAAATAACCAAAGACAGTATTGAACTATAAACAGTTTTTAAAACTTGGGAATCTATGAGCTTCTGCCATAATAAATAGTTAAAGTAATAAATAAATAAGAAATAGGGGAAATGAGGTTTATGATTTCAGGATTGCTCAAGCTAGAAAAATCATCATTTTGTTATCGTCAGAGTAAGGATCAGTTCACAAAAGGATCAGTTCACAAAAGAATCATTTATAATGCAAAATCTAAGGGTAAGGTTAACAAATAACAGATATTTCTATTTTATGGTTTTAAAATCTCTCCCTACTGCTTAGTTGTAGAATGGGGAAGGTAAAAAAGAAAGAGAGAGAGGACAGAGAGATAAAGAGAGAGAGAGAGAGAACTATACAATGCAGAAATCAGACACCTTGATTAGGTAATCAAAATTAACATCACAAATTAGGGGCAGATGGCTATCCTGTGCCTGTGGATATCATTCCCTGAGAAGGCAACAACTTCACTTGTTTAGTCCCAGATGGGCATTAGCTTGAACCTAATCATGAGGAAACATGAGTCAAACCCCAAAATGAGAAACTATCCTATTAAAAAAGAAGGGGATGGGACATTCATTGCTGAAAAATATCAATGTTTGGTAATGACATTAGGAATTAGACTCCAGAAAAGAGAGGACTAAAGTGATGTGACAACAGGATAATTGGATTTTGTACTTAGAAGGAAAAAAAATATCTATAAAGAACACTCCTCCATCAATTGACAAAATTGGGATATGAATAGCAATGGGACAAAAGTATGATACACATGTTAATGTACATAATCTGAAAACAGCATTGTGGTCACATAAAAGAATGCCCTTAGTCTTCAGAAATGCACATTGACAGAACTAGAAAGAAAAGGGCATGAAGTATGCAGATTGTTCTCAAATGATTCAATGAAAAATATATAAATTTCCATATACTCCACACACAACAAATGTTGAAGCAAATGGGAAAAATGATGAATTAAACCAAATAAAAGGTGTAGGGCATAGTTTGTATTATTTCTGTAACAATTTTTACATGAATTTGAAATTAATTCCTAGATATAGAATAAAAAATACAGAAAGAAAGAAATCATCAACATACATGAACTCTAAGAAAGCTCATACATACAGAAACTTCTCAAGAAAGATGTTTTTGTGGAAGATACACTGTGTTGTTTGAACCAACAGGTAGAATGAGACCCGCAGTGAGCTAAGGCAATGTTTGTGATGTGCTTGAACCCACAATCTAATCTGGAGAGGGAAGGAATATGCAGATGCTCTGTGAAACTATTATCCTGTGACCAGACATTTTTAAATTGATTTTTGAAACTGATATAAACCATGAATGAATCAGCAAGAAGTAACAAAAGTACTAACACATGACACATGTACAAAACCCAGCCATTATTTCTAGTACAGACAGGGAGTGTATCTATGTCTGCTTTTAATATCATCCACTGTTCATGGGGTGACCACTATTTTGAGATACATTTTCTTTTGTGACATAGCAAAAGAAGAAAGCATCCAAAATGTTGATATTTCTTAGGTAAAATGTAGGCAGATCAGTGGAATTTACAATTTTTCTTTAAATATAAATATGTACGTTGAAGAAATTTAATAGAATTATGACATGTTACTTAAAGCAGAAACTCTACAGTGCTGTGCATTTGCATACAGATCATTAACAGATTATAATTTGAAATTATTGGAAGCATTTATAAATATATCAGCCATGTCTAGCTATTCATTGGATAATAGTTAATATTTATGCTAATTTTACTCATTTGCTCTGTATGGCAGGATCAGAAAAATAAATCCATGCACAGTTTAACTTATAAACCCAATCTGTCTTCTTTCAGCTTCATGATGTTATCCATTATCATTATTCTAATAACTTCACTAACCAACATTCACGCTATTTAATTAAACCAAAATGTATCTAAGCACTTAAGAAAGAAGAATATGCATAATAACAAGCACTGCAAAGCAGAAGAGTTCAGTCCAAAATATTAATCTTAAATTATATGAAGATAGAGATTATGTGCTTCATTCTTACAAAAATTATATTGGCATATCAGATTTAAATCCCTGGAAAGATGATTAAGAATCAGCCATACTTTTGCATATCACCTTATACTTTTTAAAGCACATTTATGCTTATTATCTTATTTGAGTCTCACAATAGCTAGGCATTTTTATCATTTGACTTTTGGAAAGTAGGCAACTAGCTCAAGGTAACTGAGGCTATGAGATTTGCAACAGAATTGTCTGAATTGATGTAGATGAGGACCTTGAGATAAAAGTATATGTATCCTAAGTGCTGGCCCTCGGTTTGTCTCACTTAGACCCCATAGAGAGTCCTATCACTAATTCAGTGCTCATATACCAGTTTTATGATTCTGTAGCTGCTCTAAGGAGTGAAGTATTGGCAGTCAAGAGCACACTCCTGCTTCAGAAATAATATAGGGGCCATAATGCATATTATATAAGTGTATACTGCTGTTCTATTGATTTTTTCTCACATTCATAGCAATACTTAGCATATGATGTAAGTCTCATTAAACCAACTTCATAAATGAGGGAACTCAAAGACACTTAAGGACAAGTGATACTAAAGAAAGCATTAGCAGATAAAATGGATATGGCCATTGTACTCTTTCTACACCTACATGAAGGGTGATTTTCTGATTTCTTTTAAAAGCAATTTCATCACACTAGCCTTCTTAGAGCTATTTCCACCAAAACTATAAGACAAATAAAATCAGATTTCATTTATCGAGTATGTGGTGGGATCTCATTTATTAAAAGTATCACTGTTATTTCCTGGGTACAACTCAAAGCTATATAGTTCAAATACTTAATCTTTTCACAAATTAGTGATGCTGTGAAGACTGGGTGTGAAAACAGCCTTGTTTAGATGATAATTGTCACCAACTTCCTAAAATTGACTTAATGTCTTTAGGTGAATGTAGCAGAAGCACCCGAAACCCATAAAAAAATTACATCCCTTAATTTCACCTAGCTCTGTGGTCTTGTACAAGTTACTTCAAGTTTTAGGTTTTCAGATCCCTCATCAGTTAAAATTTAATTCTAACTGCCAAATCCTTGATTCTGAACTGCATTTTGAAATTAGACCCAGCAACCTCATAATTTGTATAATTTCATTCTCTCTTGATTACCTTACCAGTTCATGCTGGCCTATTAACATGTGAATGACGACTGAATAAAAGCCTTACACATTTAAATGAAGATATTTCTCTTGTGATATTTCCATTTGAGCTTTTTATCTATTGATATGTGATTATCCAGTATACTAAAATGAAAATAACCTTGACTAAGAATCAAGAGACATAGATTCTATTCTGGGCTCTGACAGAAGCTGTTCATTTTACTTTTGTGAGCTACGGTGCCTTTAGGTATAAAGATTAAGTATAAAAATACATATCCTGTTTATCTCATGCAAAAGATGTAAAAAAAAATATAAGTTGACTCTTAGGTTCTGAACATTGAGATTACAGGAGAATAATGAATAGTGGCACAAACAACAGTGATATATTTCTGCTTTACCTGATGGGGAGATGTGCCGCCAAGAAATGGAAGGCTCTGGTTTCCCAGTGGCCAAACAAGTAAGGGTGACATTGGTTCCTTCATTAATGGTCATGTCACTTGAGATGTCATATATCTTCGGAGGAACTGAAATGACAAAACATTCAGTGGTCAGAAAAATACATGTAAAATTCTGTTGAACTACATATGATCAACTCCATGATATTAAACTTACAGCATATAGTCACCACCCAAAAGAAATTCTCTGGATCCTTAGGACTCTCCTAGAGTTTTCTATTTGTTGGCTGGTTTATTTTTTTCTATAATTTTTAGTTATTAAGTACTTCAGCATAAACAAATTGTTTAATAGCAAAAAAGTTTGAATATGACTTCAATTAAAATTTCATTGTGCATACTTGTAATAGATACTGCAATACAGCCAATCTGTCTGTTCCATCTATGTATCTCCACCATAATGACAGTTTTCTTGATGAGATGATTTAATAAAAATGGAAATTTGGAAGAAACTTAAAGTAGAACAGTTGCTCTCTATATAGAACGTATACAGGATTAGGAGGTAAGGGGAGCTTGGATGGCTTAGTCGGTTGAGTGTCCTGGCTCTTGATTTTGGCTCAGATCATGATCCCAAGGTTCGTGGGACTGAGTTGTACATTGTTAGTGTGGAACTTGGGGGATTTTCTCTCTCCCTGTCTCTCTCTTTGCCCCTTCTCTGTTTGTGTGCGAGTGAGTGCCCACGTGCACCCTCTCTTTCTCTCAAAATAAATAAATAAACATTAATAAAAAGATTTCAGGATAACAAAGGTATTTGGGACCTCAATTTTCAATCTGCCAATTAGTAGGCATGGACTTACTATCCATTTATACTTGAAGGGGCTCAGTTCCTAATGGTTTGAAAGGTGTCTTCTTGTCAGTGGAGACTGGGAACCACTGGTTAAAACAGATCTCTTCATCCTGGGATTTCTTAGAATCTTTGTTATGCTTACTGTAACTCTCTAAGAATGAAGGGGAAACGTTTTTATTTTATTTGTTTGTATGTTTGTTTGTTTGTTTTTCCTAATGTACCAGATCATGTAAGGTTTTATTCAAGAGTATTTGATAAAACCAGTGACCATGGAATACACTTTGGGAATGCTGGATAGAAAAAATTCCTAAATGAGCTTCCAATTAAAATGCCCATATCCTTTCAAATATCAAATAGTCTCACTTCATCCTTAAATGGCATGGATACAAATCCTGGGTTCTCTACTAGCTGTGTTCTGTCTATATCTCAGGGCAAGTTATATCTATATCTCAGCCTCATTGTCTTCATCTTAAAGCTGGAAACAATAGTAGCACAAACCCCATATAGCTGCTGTGAGGATTAAATAAGCCAGTGTATTTAAAGAACTTAGTAAAGCACCTGGCATCAGTATTAGCTATTATTATTACATGCCCTAAAATGCATATGTGGTTTTTGAGTTTAATTTCAATACTGCCCTTTTCCTATGCTTTCATCAACTCATCACTTTGGCAGTGTGTAAGACTAGTTTGTGCTGTAAGTGTTAGTTTAGTCCATACAAAGTATAGTATGTTGAAGTTCCAGGTCAAAACCAACAAATGCCAATTAGGCATCTTCATAATTTTTAGAAAAATATGCCCTTTACTGGAATTCTTTTAATTGTTCCAATCTTAGGCTTTCTTTATGCAATAGATGTGTTTTCACAGCTATTTTTAAAAAGGTAATTAAAATTTGTCACAGGGATAAATTAAATTATCTATACTTTGAATACCATCTTAGATTTTTTCAATAAAACCAAAATTCCATTACAAAAAAAAAACCCTAGAATGATTTGATTATAAATATAAAATATTTGATTATATGTAACTGTAGCTAAAATTGAGGAAAAAGCTTATTCCTAAGTAATATACCATTGTAACTGTTTCTAAATGACATTCTTTAATTGGCATTTAAAACATATTATCATTAAACTCTTAAGTGAGTCTTCCCAGGCAAAAATAAAAAAAAAATTAAAAAAACATTCCAGACAGAAGACTCTCTTTAGCTTAACTGATACAGAACAGAAATAAAGACATTAAGATACCCCAGGAGGAAAGTGGAGAAAAGTGTGCTTGATTGGTGACTAGGAGAGCTAATAACAATCAAATTAAAGAAAGCTATCATCTGGATATATGCATGTAGGTACAGGTTTGAAATAGTAAACTATTAACTACATGAGTACATATGTACATATATAAAGACACACACAATTACATACACACTAATGGCCACTAATTTTAAAAAAAGAAAAAAGTTATATAGTACTTTCCTCCTTCATACAGAAAACAGTGCATAGAGATCGGTCTCGTTTATCTACATATTTCAAACATAAAACTGATTCAGTTTTGGGCAGAGCTTTGTATATTTAAGAAAAATGATGGAGCGGCACAAGACCATGATTTTTATATTCTATATTACTCTGTCAATTCTATCTGATCTTAAAATAGCTTAGTTTTGTCTTTGTATGTCTACCTATATTTAAAGTGGTAAACATGAGTGGTAAACTAATATTAAGCACAATATTTGTCTTCTAAGAGAAACAACCAAGTCCCTTAGCAATAAACTTAGATTTGACATTTAACTTTGGGAAATTGTGTGGTGGGGGAAGAGTGTTGAATTCCAGGTGTGACGTGTCATCTCAGTGATGGCAATTGCCTCCTGGGGCCTCATAATTCAGGATATGTTACAGGGAAGAAACATCTGGGAAGAGGATGTTAGTAAAGGCAAATCCCTCTGGCAAGGCTCTTCTCCCTAGAATGCATCACCTGTTGGCAACAGATGCTGTGTGTAAAGAGGGCCAATGAAATCCTTCACATGCGCTGTAGCTCATGGAGGGAAAACCGGTGTTGCTTTGCTGACTATTCAAAGCCATTTTATATTCAGCTCAAGACTGCAAACTTTTACTGAGTATTATGGAGGGAATAATTCTGGACTCACAGGAAATGTACAAGTTTCAAGGCATAATCCTTGCCCTCAAGGAACTTAAAATTAAAAGAAGGAGGCAATTAGGTAAGTAAGGAAGAGAAGACAAATATTTTCCATGTTTTCCTTTCCATTTTACATGAGTAACACATGTCTAATAAGTATGCCTCGTGCATTCAAATCAGCAGATATTATTTTTATGTTGGTTTCTTTTCTTTTTTTAATGTTTTATTTATTTTTGAGAGAGAGAGAGAAAGAGAGAGATAGCAGGGAAGGGTCAGAGAGAGAGGGAGACACAGAATCTGAAGACAGGCTCCAGGCTCTGAGCTGTCAGCACAGAGCCTGACGCGGGGCTTGAGCCCATGAACAGTGAGATCATGACCTGAGCCAAAGTCAGACACTTAGCTGACTGAGCCACCCAGGCGCTCCTATGTTGGTTTCTTTTATAGTGAACCATGTAGGATAGTTTATGCACAAAGTAATTCAGTATGGTACTATTTATCATAGAGAAAATCTATTAATAGCCTCAATATAGTATAACAAAAATAGAGATATTGTCAACTTTGCATCCAGAATAAGGTATGGTACTGGGAAAGGACTTGGGATGATCTGAGGCAGCATCATGCTAGGAGAAAAAAGAATAGGGAAAAAAAAAAAAGATGCTTTTACTTTGGGTAACCTGAGCAGGGAAGAATGGTAATGCCTCAGGCATCTTAAAATCATTTGGTTTCTGTGGGGGTTCCTGGGTTATAGTTTGTGTGTAAATCATGCATCCACACAGGTCGGGAGGACTCTATAGAGCTCTGTGAGTGACAAAGCAGCGTATCTTATAGTATTTCCAATATCTTATGCACTTGCATAGAAAAACAGAACAATGAGGAGAGTTAAAATATCCTGCTATTCTAGGTGTATGTTCCCTTTCCATATACCTTATCTTAAACTCTTTCATTTAGAAATTGAGCTGAAAAATAATTTGTTTGAAAAGGTGCATGTGTCCAATCAATTTAACAATTTTTAAATCACTAGATAAGTACAGATTTTAGTAACACTATAATTGCTGTGCACATCTTTGAGTATTTATGACCTAGAAAGAATAATAAAGGAATAAATTAGTCATCTAAATGTAAACTTGTTTAATTCATAGGAAGTAATTATAACATTATCATCATGACACCATGAGTAAAAACAATGAAGGGTAGGAGTTCTAGATTTTGTACTAATCACAGAATATCTCTCTCCTAATGGGACCCTTACTGGGGATATATATGACTTTACAGCTGTGTTCATAATTAATTGTTCTATGTCACCAGTTACAGAGACTGAAGAACACTGGAAACTCTCCAAACAACAGAGGTTGAAAGGTTGTGTTAGGATGGCATGCTTTTTGAAATTCCCATACACATTTAAAGGAATCACTCTTGGATCCTCAGAATGATCATCTACTTTGTCTTTAATTACTCACAGGGGCACCTGGGTGGCTCAGTTGGTTAAGCATTGGATTTCAGCTCAGGTCATGATCTCACGGTTCAAGCCCCGCATCAGGCTCTGTGCTGGCAGCTCGGAGCCTGAAACCTGTTTTGGATTCTGTCTCCCTTTCTCTCTGCCCCTTCACTGCTTGTACTCTCTCTCTCTAATTTAAATAACCACTAAAAATAAAAAAAAATTTTTTTTACAGGCCTCAAATTCAACTGCTACCTAGTACCGTGTCCTCAACTTCTATTCACCTTACTATGGTAAGGGGATGATGCATATTTAGATGAATCTCTAGATTTCAATTTACTAAAGGTAATTTAAATTTCTTGTTAGTTTCACTTTCACTAAAAAATGCAGTCTGACTTGCTCCAACTGCCTTCTCTCATTTCAGTCATCTATCACAGTATCCTGAGACAGCGTATGGAGCATTATCAGTAAGGAAAATTGTAGAATATATATCCAAACCAAAAACTCACTATTTCTATACAGCCAACCATTTGGGATTATTCCCTACCATTTGCATCATCATGTACAACTGAGTTTGTCAGTGGCTTCATTTGTTTTTTGTTTTGTTTTGTTTTTAATGTATATACATTTTTATCTACAGAAATAAAATAAGTCTTTAGCTTGTTTGCTTAATGAGGAGCCTTCACAGATTTAACTTAAATTTCTTCTAAGAATCCATCTTGTAGTC